TTAGTGAGTACAAGTTGTAAGCAATAAGTAAACGCAGGACAGATGTGAAGTAGGAAGTAAAAGATTTGTAAAGATTGATGTATAAACTTAGATCGTTTTTACAATGAGAAATATTATGTTATTCTGACAAGTACAACTTCAAAACTTCAATGTCATAAATAATAAATCATATATCAAAATGTACAGGGAAACTTCTTAGCTGATGTATTAGTGGAAACTTCTTTCTTCGCCACTCCCTCTTAATTCAATAGTCTACTAAAGTTCACATCATTTTGATAAACCCATAGCTTCAACACAAAACTCAAACTTCTGTGTAGATAATGGCTTAGTACAAATGTCAGCCGTCACCTTGTTTGTTGGAAGATATGCTAACTGAACTTCACCATTTTCAACCTTCTCTCTTATGAAGTGAAACCTCACATCAATGTGCTTTGTTCTTCTGTTCAGAATAGGATTACTTGCAATTTTTTGAGTACTTTGATCGTCATTGTAAACTTTTACAGGTTTTGAAAAATTTACAAGTTCTGATAACAATCCTTTTGAATGTATTGCTTCTTATGCATCAGCATATTTGAAACAAAAACCAGTATTGACTTTCGATTTGTCGCATCACTAGCCCAATCTGCATAGGTGTATCCAGTCAATTCGTCTTCAGATTTCCGATAAACTAATGCTCTGTCTGCTGTTCCTTTGAGATATCTTAATACGCGCTTCGCAGCTTGCCAGTGTTCTTGACCATACTTAGTATTGAACTGGCTCAAATAGGACCATGCATAAGCAATGTCAGGTCTAGAAGTGACATTCAAATACATTAGACATCCAATTAGGTGCTGATATGGCACATTTAAGCTCTTTTCTCTCTTTAATGGCAGTTTCATATTTGAATCCATTGGTGTACTGATTGGTTTACAATTTAACATTCCAAACTTCCTTAGTACATCCATGACATACTTTCTCTGACTAATAGAAATACTTCCATTTTGATTTTTCTGCACTTTCATGCCCAAACAGTTATCTATAACTTCAAGATCTTTGATTTTAAAGTGACGTGATAGTAGCCTCTTTAATTTCTCAGCTTCATTTTCATCATTGTGGAAAATAAAAAAGTAGTCCACGTATAGTGCAATGATAACTATGTAGTTCTTTTTCTTCATAGTGTAGATGCAACTTTCGTGTGCTAACTGCTTGTAATTAGGTTCTTTTAACACCTTGTCAACTTTCTTATTCCAGGATCTTGAAGCTTGTTTTAATCCGTATAATGCTTTTCGAAGAAGACACACTTTATTATCTTTCCCCTCAACGACGAAACCTTCTGGTTGATACATGTAGATTTTCTCATCTAGTTCTCCATTAAGAAAAGCAGTGACAACGTCCAAATGTTTCAATTCAAGGTTAAATTGAACAGTAAACGTATTGATGAATATCTAATCACTGGTGAAAAAGTATCAAAGTAATCTATGTCATACTCTTGTGTGAACCCCTTGGCTACTAATCTGGCTTTGTAATATACATTGTTTCCATCGGTATCTTGTTTTACTTTGTACACCCATTAAGATTTGACAATGTTAACTTCTTTTGAGTTTTCAACTAGAATCCAAGTGCCAGATTCATGAGGTGAATCAATTTCATCTTGCATTGCAACTCTCCACTCTGAAGAAAAATCACTAGAAATTGCTTCATTGATTGTTTTTGGCTCAGGAAAATCAAACAAAGTTTGATATACCAAATGATCCGGGAATTCTTATTGTTTTCTATCTCGAATTGGATATCTGCATTCTGATTCTTGATCTAGTTGTTTTTCTTGAACTAGAAGGTTTTGTTGTTGAGATGTGACCTTATCAGAAAGAACTTCTTTATTTGATATTTGTTCTTGAAAATCATCATCAGTCTCACATGCTTGTTGTTCATTATTCGCATTATCGCGTCCAATCTCAATTTGTTCATTTTCGTTTTTAGAATCGAATAGTGACAAAATTGGCGCAAATACTTTTGTAAAAGGTTTTTCGTTTTCGGCCATCTGATTGGTGAAAAATTGACCTTCTAGAATTACAACATCTCTAGCTCTGCATATCTCATTTGTTTTTGGATTGAAAAGTCTATACCCAACAAATACCATTTTCTGGCTTTTGGGATCCAGCTTTCGTCGTTTTTGCTCTGGTATATGAACATACGCTATTGATCCAAAAACTCTTAAATGGCTGAGATTTACTTTTCGACCACTCCACTTTTCTTCTGGTGTCATTTTCTTGATCAATTTTGTTGGTGATCGATTGATCAAATATAGCGGTGTTGACAGCTTTAGCCCAAAAACGATTATCACAAGACGATTCTTGCATCATAGATCTCATCTTATCCAAAATTGTCCGATTCATGCGTTCTATAACTGCAGTTTCTTGTAGTGTGTAGGGTACTGTTAGCTGGAATTTTATGCCATTTTGCTTTAGAAAATTTTTCAAAATATTGTTTGAGAATTCTTTACCATTGTCACTTCGGACTCTTTTTATCTTCAAATTACATTCATTTTTCTACTTGCTGTTTGAATTCCTTGAAAACTTCTGTAACTTCACTCTTTTGTCTGAGAGAATAGACAAAAACTTTTGGCGTAAAGTCATCTATCAGACAAAAAATATACTGACTTCCTCCCCAAGAATCTATGGGCATGGGTCTACACAGATCCATGTGTATGAGCTCCAACTTTTTGTGAGTGGAAACCTCTGTTCGTTGCATTTTGAACGGCTTCTGGCTATGTTTTCCTTAAATAAAGGACTCACAAAGATCGTCAAGATTTTTGTTAGAAAAATCCAATCCTATAGCTATTTTGTCACGAAGAAGTTTCATACTGATATGGTTTAAATGTCCAAGTCTTCTGTGCCAAAGTACTTTTGAGATTTCTGTGTTTGAAAAATTGGCGTGTTCAGTTTTGTTTAGATTGAGGCAATAGACTCCACCAATTTCAGTTGCTGTAGCCACTGTATCACCTTCAATCACGCAGTTTTCATCTTGTATACTTCTTGATCAAATACCACTATAAAGCCTTTAGAGACCATCTGGCTTACGGAGGTCCGGAACATAGGTTACGTTAGAGATAACCTCGACTAGTGATCTATCCTTCAGACTAATAGATACATCTCCAATTCCTTGACTGTATAAAATTTGATAATTTGCAACAGCCACTTCTAACATTTCTTTCTTCTGAAAAATTGACCAGCCATTCTTTGTTAGAAGTCATATATGACGAAGCACCAGAATCAACATACCATTTTTGTCTATTTAATTGACAACCTAATGCGGGAATAAAAACTCCATTCTTGGTTGACTTGTTCTGCTCATACTTTTTATTTTGGTTAGACGTAGAAGGTCCACTGACTTTTGTATTTTTACAATTTTGTTTATTAGTGTCCCACAGAACGACATTTGTAGCACGAAGGCTTTTTGTCTTTCGCATTATTGACTTTATTTTTCTTAGACCACAAAGCTTTATTTGAATTGTGCTTATCATTCTCCCACTTTGTATCTAGTATTAACTTGGATTTGATCAAATCACTCGTGATCTGTGCACCAGACTGTTCAATCGCCATCACTAGGATCATAGCTTTCTGGCAATCCTTGAAGTATCATAGCTCCCAGTAACTCATCATCAAAAGCTTTATTTATGGGGCTAAGTTTTTGCGACAGTGTCATTAACTTATTAACGTAATCAGCAATTTTAGAAAAAAATTTCTAACCTGATACTACATAAGGTTCGAAGCAATCTGATTCTCCGATTGAGACCTTTATCTTCGTAAGCTGCTTTCAAATAATCTCAAGCATCAACAGGTTTTTCACATTCTCTTATGTGAGGATAACAGCAAGGTTGAACCATCAAACAAATCTTTGTAAGAGCTTTTTGATCTTTCTCACTTTTAATTGCTTCTGTTGTCGTATCGCCTTCTGGAAAGCCATTTATAGGAACCCAAAGATCTTCATTACGAAGTAGCAAACGACCAATCACAATAATTCTCACTTCCTCTCAACTTATCAAAAGGAGGAGCTGAACTGGAATTTTCTGCATAATTTACAGTAGTAGACATAATTGAAATTGGCTCGAAAAAATGTCTATAAAATCCCAACTTTTTAAAAAGAAAATTTTCTTGACAGATGGAATCTACTTCAAAATTTTCTTTTTGCAGTTTCAGAGGTTGACGAATCTTTTTGTGATTACATCTGCTGGCCTATCTGGGCCCGTAACCTTTGTAAGCAATAAGTAAACGTAGGACAGATGTGAAGTAGGAAGTATTGTTCGTCGATTTTTAACTGACACTTTCCGTATGAGGAGCGAGGGGGTGTTTCATATGGCAAAAACAGGTGTGACGTCAGGTAACCATTGGCGTTTCTAATGTAGTGAGCCACCAGCTCACATTCCGTCCGAGTATCAGATTAAAATCGACGGACAATAAAAGATTTGTAAAGATTAATGTATAAACTTATAAAACGTTTTTACAATTAGAAATATTATATTATTCTGACAAGTACAACTTTAAAACTTCAATGTCATAAATAATAAATCATATATCAAAATGTACAGGGAAACTTCTTAGCTAATGTATTAGTGGAAACTTCTTTCTTCAACACAAGTTTATACAAAATACTCTCATTTACATCGACTGACTTGCCAACTACGCGCTTGATACACAAAAATATTCAGTCGAGAATTCTCCAGAATCACGTAAATACTTGTTTATTTGAATCGCACACTCAAATTTCTGAATAATCGTAGTAAGCAGTGAAAAACAACTTCCCCAATGTAATTTCCTAACAGTAATATAGTCGTTTTCTCCAGACATCTATACCTACCTATTCCTTATTTCAAGATTTTCAATTAGGTACTTACTTAGTAGATGTTAGAATAATCTCTTGAAGATTGGTTTATTTATCTACAAACTCATTCAATCTCTTATACTTAAATATATTATATTTTTCATTAGTCTACTAAACGAAATTAAACTAAAATAAATTTCCAGACGCAATGGTAGCCATAGGAGATGGAATCAGGATGGCAACTGACGAATGTAAATATCAGTTCAGACATCAAAGATGGAATTGCAGTGGAATCGAAAATCCAGCTTCATTCGGTCACGTGGTCATTGTTGGTATGTAGGTATATTTTTTTCTATTTTTTTATACACATAATTTTTAAGAAAAGTAAATTTAATCGTGTTGACTCACCGTCATCATCCTTATTATGCCAGTCACATCGTCGCTGGTCTCGATCTTCTCTGTATACAGTTTCTCATTGTTTACAAATAAGGCATATCAACTCGGGCTATCAGGTAGTATCCGATATAAATTTGTTATAATAAGTTTTGCGGCTGTGGGCAAACAATAACTTTAATCGGCCCACACGGTATAGAATTACGTTGTTATAATTAAAACGAACGTGTGCAGTATAGGTTTCTGCAATAAGGAATTGGGTCATTATAGGATTTTTTTTTGTCCAACTGGAATGTACCTATGGAATGGACTTGAAATTATTCAATTGTTAGAAAGAGTTACATGGAGCTTTATCTACCACACTACTATAATAATACATGTGTGGAACAGTAATAAGAAAATTTATTCCACCATTCAAAACCCATCCTAACCTCATTGCCATAGAAATTATCAGCTAAGGTTACAATGTCGCGATGAAATCAAACGTTCTTGGCTTCATAGTTCATCTCTCACTACAATATTCTCGACAACGACAACTATATTCCATTGTCAATATTATTGTATACACACTAAAAAAATTGGTGAAAAATTTGCCTAATAAATATTTATTTGATTTTTTTTTATTTCACCCAAATAATGATTAGTTAAACCAACAACAATGTATTTGGTTTAAATAAATCTGTGTATTTGGTTTTTTTATAGTTATTTACATTACAAGTGCGTTTATGAACATGATTACAATAACGAGTGTGAAAGACGAGGTCGTAGACCGAGTCGTCCTAATCACACGAGTTTTGTAGTCATGTTTAAACGCACGTGTGATGTACAACGTTTTATCTGCAAAGCGAAAAATAAGAATGTTTTTTCCATTATTTCCGTTTATTAGTAGTTCTCTACCTTCATTTTACCTTTACAGGTTTATCTATGACATTTGTCAAATCACCAAAAATAGTTGTGTTATAGATTCATAACCTAGTCCATAACACCACTAGTTGTGTTATGAATTCATAACCTAAGGCTATAACAAAACAAGTTATGTTATGAGTCTCGTGACATAACTCAAATACCAGAAAAATGGTTATGTAAAAACGTCATAACCAAACGCTTGTAGATAAAATTATTTGTTTGACTTCTTAAAATGATACGAGTTGCATTATTAAATAAATATGTATTTAGAACAAACGCCATAAATGTAATATATTCAGATTATTTAAACGAAATAACAGCTACTTTAAGTTAAATATTTTGGAATTTTTACAAAATAAACATGACCAAAATTCAAATAACCGGGATCTGTGTAGACATTTGACAATTTACGCGCATGCTCGAGTTCCGAATACTGTGCTGTGTGCATCACTGCTCTCTGCTCGTTCTTTGTTCTTTTCTGTTGTTGGTTTGGCACGCGTCGCATGGTGTTACTTTGAATTTTTATTTTTCGGAGTGGTTTTCGCAAGATGGAAGGGCAGAAGTGGCCTTTAATACACCGTAAGTTGAAGTTATAATACCTACATAATAGGTATAATTCACAATATTTCCAAATCATGCAAAAAATTTCAGCAAGATGGTGTCTCCAGGAACAAAAAAATACGTCGCCTTGGCCGATATAATTTTTATTGAGGACTTATTTCTACCTGGACCAGACCAAAGTTTACCTCTCACACTGAGGCAACAAGCAGTAGGCAATTCGCAATAATATTTGACGCAAGTATTTTACATTTATTTAAATTAGAGGTTTCACATTAGAGCAACCAGCAATATTTTCCGTTCGACAGATATCGAGTTGCTCTAATGTGAGATCTCCGATTTAGTTCAATGTACGATACTTGCCACCACAGAAACTGTGCATCAGAACGAACCACCTGCAAACATTTTTGGAAGTTCCATCGAAGTGAATCAGATTCCAAACATTGATGATGGAGGAAAAGAGAATAACGATGAACGACTGAATGAGAACGACCCTCCTGTGCAGCTTGACAATAATTTATTGATTTAACTAGAATAAAAACATAATTGGATTGAACAAATCAGGCTTTAAATGGAACAATTTGTTTATTTGGCTCAAAATAAAAGAGGTTGAGAGAAATACTTGTTTCATTAATAATAAAAAACAAGTAGCTCACAATAAATAAATATTTATTTAATTTAAATATTTTCTATGAGCTAACAATACATAATTTATTTACTCGAACTAAATATTTATTTATTTTGTAAAAATGGTTGACTTAGAGCTAAACCAAGAATAATTTAATTCAAGCAAACGGAATGGAAACGGTCAAACAAATCCAGATTATTTTTTGAACAAATATTTGTTTGTCCATTATCAACCAAATATTTATTTAAGGGAACTCCATTTTTCTTTGGACCAAATTATTATTTTTTTTCAGTGCATATATGTCTCTCTCAGTTATTTTTTGTTTGATATTCCACTTTTATACCTAGAGATCTGCGAACTCGCATAAGTAAAAATAATGATTTCGTGTGATTCTTTGTTTTAGAAAATTACAAAAGCTCTATTTTTTTCAAATATAAGACATTTTCTTGTCACGAATATTAGATAGACTAATGAAAAATAAATCTGATAGTTTGAATGTAGGGTAGGTACTAACATTTGGAATATTTATCAATATCAATAAATATGAGAAACAATGTGGGATGTTGTCGATGTTGGAAATTCATTAAAAAACGTTTCATAAAAGAGTTAAAAAGTTTCAAACACAGGTCTTAAAACCCAAACAGAACGACCCCAGCTATAAAATTCCCCGTTTTCTTCGGTATCTTCAAAAATCGGTGTGACGGCTCTTTCCCATTGTCTCGTCCCCAATAAAGGCATATCGGATGATCAGCCATAAATCTGCAGTGGCTAATTAACTAGAGACGTGTGTAAATGATGCCGCAATTCATCTGATTCCATCTCTATCTTTCACTTTACAGTTTATTCTTCGTTGGACTTTCTTTTCTTTCATCTGGCGCCAGTGGTAGAAATCAATTATTACACTCAAGACCAATTTAGTTATATTTTTTATTTCCAAGCTCTGCATATAATACGAACGGCTATAAATTAAATCAAAAGGTATCTTTTTCAAAAGTAGCTTTACCCAAGGCAGTCCACCATAAGCTTCTATATTCACCCGCGATCCGCCTCAAGAAGGAATGTGAAACATATCCTTTTTTTATGATAACTAACAAGGCCTAAGTCATATTTTTCATCAATTTGGATGGCCGAAGAGTTAGTGAATGATCCACCCGCTGGCCCAAAAGACTTGTTTATGCTCCGGTAATACCTTATTTTATGGCCTGTCACAGATTAAATGGCATAACATGATAATCCTCGATGCTTATGTTATTTACCTCGGACGATAATACGTCTTCTCATACATGCTTATGTGGCTTTAAGTAGGATTTTTTGAGAGACATAAACCAGTGCTCTTTTGTTAATGGAATACACAAGGTCAACAAAGATAAGAAATTGCTTCTACATCATACGTAGAATTTTTAAATTAAGATTACCTTTTTTTTTGTCGATTAAATTTTTGAAAAATGACAAATCAATGATCTCGCCGCTGTAAATTATGTGTTGCTAATTAATTACGTTTTTTTTTTTTCAATAATAACTTTAATAAGTATACGGTGTGGGTGAATATTTCTCCTTGCGCAGCTCCATTATTTATTACCGTGACTGCAATAAATCTCTATCTTCATTAATTAAACGGCGGCAGCCATTTTATTTTTGTTTTATTTTTTTGTTCATATATACGTGCCCGCAAAGCTGTCCCGGTGTGTTATTACAACTTGTTCCATACAAATAAAGCGTACCTACGTCGTTTTGGATGTGACTCCCTTGTGCGTTTATAGGAATTACGATGCTTGCATGCGACATGGGAGAAATGGAATTATAGGTGTATGGCGCCATTAGTGGAGAGAATCTTTATGTTGTCATGACAAAATCTAGGCATCTCTTACCTCTGTTTTATTATTTATTTTTGAGCAGACAAAATTGTACATTCATTTACATCAATTTTCATTTACAACAAACATACAATTGCAATTTGTAATATTGTAGGGCGAACCAGCCATGCCGCGTGCAAGTTTTTCCAGGAAGTACGATGTCACTCGACATTTTCATCACGTCTTTTATTATTAGCTGATCGATAAACCAGTGACGATTTTAGCAATTGCCCCTATTTGTAGACTTTATGTGTGGTATCTTCGTAACGGGCCCGTCCACAAGCGAGTCTCTAACCCAGCGGGATAAGGTTAGGTTGTCTTGTTATTTATTAATTCGTTTTAGCTCTTGTTTTTTTTTTCTAGAGTTTCATTTATATTTATACCTCTTTTACGTTTGTATGACGATATCCTATAAAAAATAACAGTCCACAACTTATCTCCCGTTTCAACAAATCGCTACAATAATACTTCGCATAAAGCTTTAAGTGACGCTCATAATATGTGAGTCTACTCTCGGCATTTCAAATTGCAAAATATGCCGGAAACATAGCCACATCCCAACTAAATGAACTCATAAGAACTATCTGGAAAACGAGAGGATCCCAGAAGACTAGAAAGAAAGCATAATCCCCTTACACAAAAAAGGAGACCTAAAATGATATGCAAAAATTATAGACGAATAAGCATAAGCATACAAAGTTCTATTAAATATAATTCTGTCGAGAATAACCCCATTCACAGACGAGATAATAGGACACTATCAGTGCGGCTTTCGGACAAACCGATGAACAATCGACTAACTGTTTACAATTAGATAGCTACTAAAAAAAGCTGGAAATTTAATAGGCAGATACACCAACTGTTTATAGATTTCCAACAGGCATATGATAGTTTGAAAAGAGTTAAGGTATGGGAGACAATGGCAAAGTTCGGGATATCTCATAAGATTATAAGACTAACAAGAGTTTGTGTAGTAGGTTCCAAATGCAGAGTG